GATTCAAACTAGCCGAAACTATACGTCCACATCTCTAAAATTCACTACTAATGTAGCATAAACAAAGTTGATCGACCAATTCGTGCGAAACTGCTGCCAAAATATTGAAGATAAAGTTATTTGAYGCTGGTTATGACAAGGTAGCTGCTTACGTACGAGTCTCATCGACTGTCCACTGAAAACCACAGCCTTTTGTTTGACCCAGCGGGAATCTCGTACGAAAAAAGTAGGTCTCCGGCTCRTAATGTCTCATGATCCCATCTTCTCATGATCCCCAATCCTCCATCTTCCCACCCCCCATCCTCCCTTCTAGATCAGCAAGTGTATGGGGTAAGTTATGTTATATGGACTTACAGGAGGGGGTGGAGTACTGGGTATTAACGGCAGGCTTTCATCATCAGAGGTAACAGAGTGATATTCTGTTTCCAGTGATTGATCCCTATTGCATGAAAAGAGAGTAACAAAAGTAAGCTTGAAAATAAATCTCATTTATATCAGCACTCTCTTGGAAAATTCTAGATAAGAATATTTCAACTAGTAAAATACGGAGACTTATTAAACTAAGGGGTCATGAATGAGTGGTGAACATTATAATAAGAGACCTGGATATACAGACGATTAGATAGTTGATAGGGGGGTTTCGTAAATCCAAAAAAAAATATCGAGCAAGCACTTAAACCTCAAAAAAAATATCGTGCAACCTCTTTTGCTAGAAGAAAAATATCTAACTGTACRCAAAAAAATAACATGCAAGGGTTGGGCCAAAAAAATAAATATAATGCAACCAAAATTCCTGCAACCCCCCATMAACTATCTAATGGTCCATCCCTTATCAAGAGATTTAAGTTTAATTCATAGTCAATAAAACTATTTAAAACACCTTGATTATAAGTGTCTAGATATGTGGCCTTAATTCCTTCCCTCTTTGAATGACATATCGCCTATTGTCTATCTCCATTGACTCTCACAACCTAAGTTTCCAAACTAGGAATGTACTATGAGAAATAAGACCTCAATAGCATTTCTTATGGATGATTTTGATTGTGATTACAATCTGGACAAGCCAATCCAAGCACACATGCTAAGCTGCAACAATGTTTTGTTGTCTTCTTGTTTCCAATTCATGGAAAAACTAAGGTTTTTGACTAATACTAATCTTCCTCTAGCTTGTTATTGGTTGGTTGTTAGTTAACTCCTTATGGAAAATTGATGATGTCACAGATTATCACTTGCTTTTACACTGCGCTTTTACTTGTTGTTAATAAATATTATGTATAAAGTTAGAATAAACTTACCCAGTACTTAACATAGAACCTACAGCATTTCCTGTCCTCTTTTGACGATGAATTCTATGAATAGGCAGAATGCAAATGCATCAGAATAATGTATAAAGTAACTTTACCTTTAGTAGCCTCAATTAAGTATGTTGTCCTAGGAAATGGGGCTATTTTGGTGATAGGGTTACCTGTGGTTTGGCATATAACCAAGGGCTAGGATATTAGCATTATTAGCGGGTTTATAAACAAAGCTGAAAAAAGGGTCAGCAGTTGTGGGTAAAAACACAGGCTCACCTGCTTGATATRAATAATGCCAGCTATGATTTTGAAAAAATCTGCTACAAAAGTACAGACGTATAGGCTATTTCTTGTGTTTGTTTTCATCATATTATGTAGAACTTTTCTAATGCTTGTACTAAAATGCTTTTCCCTAAAAACCTTGCCCAAAATGCTTGTTAGATGGGAATTTTTCCAGTGGCAATGTTGAGGACACAGTATTATGCATGCATTGCTCACTTCACAGTCCTTTTGAGAAGAGGCTCAAGAGGAGAAGAGAAGAGGCTTGGAGGAACAACTGACAACAGGTAACCCATTCACCAAAATACTGTAAGTCTGGTGAAGACTACTTCCAGCATATTGATTTAGTCATCCAATCAAAAAGATATGTAGATATTATGTGTYTAGTGAGTCTTCGGGCATTAATCAAGCTTTACCAACCTTTTACATATGGGTATGATAAAGAGTAGTATCAGAGCCAAGAATACAACAAGAATGATAGAAATAAGTAACAGCTTACTGAGGCCTTCCCTGTTAAACAAACCAAAAAGAAGAAACTTTTCTCAATAGGAGTCAGTATTACTGAAGCTAATACATATTACATCTGCACAAGCTGATCTGAGAAAAACTGTTAGGCAATTAAAAGCGATAAAAATTTGCAAAACTGAGGTGTCACTACTTGCTCTTGAAATTTTGGATTTCCAGGCCACCAAATGTGGGGAAAATATTACTAATGAGAGGTGATAACAATAACATAATACCTAATGAGTYTTATATTCTTATAGCAATGGTTGACCAGTTCTTATTTTTCACTGGTCAATTATTGCAGGCCTTCAGGACACCTCAGTTTTGCAGTTACATTATTTTGACGTCACTATTTCATATCAGCTGGCAGTCCCATCCTATTATATCCCTTTTCCATTCCCRTTTTTTTTCTCTTTCCATTCCCATCCAATGCAACCATCTATCCTTCTAATCCAATCCCATTTATCCATACGAGAGAGTCAAATCTAAGATAACTTTTAATTTTCAAACTTATAGAAGAAAATAATTATGTTAACTTACACAACTGGAAAACAAACTGCACATTGAGCCTTTTTATATTGCTAGAATGACAAAGATAAAAAATAGAGGAATATGTAAGTGTTTTATATTGCAATTTTTTTATGTTGACTGTAAGCACACTCTGTAAGCAGGGAATGATTTCTAATAGTCTCCCAAGCCAGAGGCTCATAATTAAAGCTATTGATGTTAGATCAAACTGGAATTTGAGAGTGGATTTTTGCCTTACACTGTCAAATTATACAGTCAAGCATGGGTGGGTAGCATGGGTGGTGCTCACGGCTAACGCGCCGTCTTTCACCGCTGTGAGTCCAACRGGTCGGGTCGCTGGTTTGATCCCTGCGATCGCCATATCTGAATTGAGTTTGTTTGATATGAGTTGTCAGTGACATTGATTTGTCCAAAAGGTGAGTTGACTGTATTCACTGAATAAATTACTCAGACCTCAGAAATAAATATCTCAGACCTGCACTGACACATCTATATTATGTACCTGTTGGAATCCAGTACACTTAAGTTCGTCCTGCAATCCCATTAAATCTGTTTTCGATTGATTAAAATTTTTAACAACCTCTCGTATTTCAGACCGTTTACTTGGCCACCTCTAGATGGAGAGAAAGTAATGGAGAGATATTAATATAATGACTCATACCAGCACATAGCATGAGCCAGCAGCATGGGGCATTCTGGGCTACCATGGGTTACCAGAAAATGATGAACAAAGTACATTTTGACTTAAGCTAGAAGCAACATCATGAAATACCCACACCTTTTTCAAGCAGGTTAATATGGTGCATTCTGGTCTACCTTGGGTACAAAATATATTTTGTTACTCATTTTTTGGTACCCAAGCTAAAAGGAACGTCAAACTAGCATAAAGAAATACTTGGAATACACAAATATCTATCCTTAATTTTCTGCAGAGAAGGTTAACATGGTGCATTCTGGTCTACTCTGGGTACAAGATTTAATATATTTTGGTCATCATGGCTTGRATACCCAAGCTAGACCAGAATGCAACCTGTCAAACTTTGGACAGGGCTCTATAAATATTTTACGTACAAACCTTTTCAAGTTCTTTAAACAATACTTCTCCATCTTGAGCAAAACTCAGAGATTCCTTAACATACTAAGAAGAGAAAATAGACATGGAATTTCAAGTGCCTATATTAAAGCCTTTATACAATATTTTCATGCACTGATTCCTTAGATAGTGAATAGTTGATTGCAAAACTATTTTGGGTCTTTAAGTTTAATAAAGCTTTATATTTTCAATAAGTTAATAGCTATAGAATACTGTAATATATAAAATAATATATGCAATATACCTAAGATAGTTTATTCTCAGTGCCTGCAATGCACATGAATTTATTTGAGATGTAGAAGTAGTCGAAAAAATGGCTGCTTTCCACGAGTGTGGACAGCCGACAGGTATACTCATGTGCACTGCAGGCGTCAGMCTAGGGTTAGGTGGGTGGGTTTCGCACAATCTTGATGCCATTAGAAGAAATGTGTGCAAAGACCTGGACTTTGCTATGATTATATAACGATGCATAGGATTGTGGGATATCTATTATATTGTTATAATAATTTAAACTGTTATTTCCGGCACTGAGAATAGTTTATAATACAATGGGTGGGTGGGTGGTGCATTCTATTACCTGTTCATATGGATGCTCGCTGTCCGGCTTGCAATCAACATAATAATTAACAATTCCTATAAAAACAAGAATCATTGTTAGATTAAAGAGTAATATTTAAGTAGGTTGTCATATATGACAGGATTATAGGAATTATTGAGCGAGTATAATAAGGTAAAACCAACAGTACCTTTTACTACTAGTGACGACTGCCTGGTATAAAAGTCTATAGTTTTTCTTGGATTAATACACAAATCAGACATGGCCTGGAAAGAATGCAATTAAATGGTTAATTTAATTCAAATGGTACAAGCTGGCAGCAGCTATTAAATCTACKAACTAAAGATGCTTTGATTGTTTCTTTCGTTTCCTTGCCTACCTTGTTCTCATTGGTTTCTTTTGTCTTATTCTCATCATATATACAATCCTTTSTACCACCTCTTTCTCTTTTACTCCGACGAAGGGCTAGCGTCGGAAATGTCAGTATGTTYTTTCATTTTTACCTTTTTATCATTACTGTTTCATTAGAAACACTGACGCAGCTCACACTAGTTTTTAGCTAGTTATCTTTTCTAAAGATGTTTTGTATCAAATTGAGTTGCATTGGAGAGCAATAAATTACAATTTCAAGCTCTATGACAATGTTTGATCATTTCAAATGCCTTCCGAAAAAATTTTATGTTACTCTATAATAATTATATAAATACTTAGAGCACTATTAGTAAATGATTTGCAGAAATTAAAATCCCTCTAAATAATATGTGGACCGCATAGCACTTATGAAATACATGRAGATATAGAAATATAGAWAAGTTATAGTGCTTAGGAACGAGGTTATTCCGGGCGAAAGCCCTTGGAATTAAATTCAGAAAAATTAATTTCCGACCTCGCTGGGAATCCTAAGCACTATAACTTATCTATATTTCTATATCTTCTAAATAATTCATGTTTGCTATGTTTTGTAAGAAAAACTGATATGATAGTTGACTTACRATGGAGGCTCCTAGGTGTGAACCAAGTAACACCCATTCAAGAAGAAATGCTACACAGCCGATTAGAATGGCCCTAAATCAACAAAAACAGTCACTCAATATAGTGGAATGTAAACCCTATACCTGCTCAAAAACTAAATGGCACTAAAAACATAATTATATTACTTTAATTTTCAATAGTTTCATTGGTGCTATTTTGTACTCATTAGTCAGTACTTTTGAGAAATGTGGTTCACACTCTGTAATGCATYTACTGCTTATTATTAGAAAAAACATTGATTGGAATGCAATTCTTTTGCGTGCCATTGATCATCTTTAAAGCTATATATATAGCTGGTGCAATTCCCAAAATGAAAAAGTAGAGCAAACCTTCAAGTTTTATCCAACCCTGAAACAACCTCYGGGCTGATCTAATTTAGGGAATGGCTAACTCACAGATCCAGCCCTGAAACAACCTCTGGGCTGATCTAATTTAGGGAATGGCTAACTCACAGATCCAACCCTGAAACGACCTCTGGGCTGATCTAATTTAGGGAATGGCTAACTCACAGATCCAGCCCTGAAACAACCTCTGGGCTGATCTAATTTAGGACATGGTTAACTATCTAAGTTGATTAAAGTCAGGACATGGCTAACTGAGTCTCAGATCAAATTGAAAGTCAGCATGTCATGTCTTGCAGGAAACTTGAGAACCATGAGTATGGAACCTGAGACCCCCTCCCCCCCCAGATGAGAGGCGAGTGTACTACTGCTTTGTCACCCTTGATCCCCTTTTAAAGGCTTAAAAAATGAATGTTGACTACTTGTAAAACGTATTCTTCTATGGAATACTCACATGACAAAACCACATCTGCTGTGTCTGATGGTGGAATATCCAGCAAACAAACATGTCAAGATTCCCAGTCCAAGGATTCCAAAGGCAGCCCACCATCTGTATAAATTAAATCATAAAAAAATATATACAGACCCATGTAGCTTGGGAATCAATTAATTTACCTAGTTCACCTCATGTATCATCACCCTTAGGAACCAGATTAGAACTGTGTTTGAGTTTCAAGTAATAATAACATGTATTCTCAATCAAGCATAGCTGGTAAATAWAAAAAGGATGGAGGGTATAATTATACCCAGCAAACTGAATGGGTCTACAGTCCTGTCTTTAGTTTTAAACATGGTGCTTACAGACATTTTAGATAAGGGAAGTAATTCCACTCATAAGTAAAGAAATAAGGAAATGATCTGAGGTCAGAAATGGGAAAAAATCAGCTGAAAAGAATCTAATACCTATATCTTTTTTACCTTAAAAGTGGGTAAAAGCAAATATATCATTGTCGGCCCACAAACCAGCAGTGGCTAAAAGAATAATAGCTGCTGAGTGACCAGACTTGGTGATGGCCACATCTGACTGATCAATATTTGACCAGWCAATGTGACTTGTCAACAGTACTTGGGGGCTTTCATTTATTAGTTTATTGGTGCAYTGGGGGGGAGGAGGGGGTAGGTTTATTTAAAACGAATTTGATCAGTGATCATGATTTTAGACAGGCATTGTCAGTGAACCAGCTATTATTTTTTGCCTTGAACCAAATATTATTTGGCATATTTTTATAATCCTTTAATATCCAAATGAATTTATAAACATAATCATGAATATCAACCAACCTGTAGYACTCTCCAGTCTTAATATAGGTGTCTACATCTGGTGCTTGTTGTTTTTTAACACCTCTTAATGCTTGTATGATTGATAACACAGTTTCCTGAATCTCATCAAGGATTTCTCTGACCTCATCAGGAATATCTGGTGAGTCGAGTATTAACCTTCTTATGCTTGATCGTATGTCTAGCAAGTTGTTCTGAACTCCTGACACCTATTAGATTKAATCATTCATTCATTAAATCAATCAATCAATCAATCAATCATTCATTTATCTTAATTGAATATAAAGAGCTTCTAAACATTTATTTATTATTTATACATCAATTAATTGGTGCATCCATTTCATTCATTCATTCATTCATTCATTCATTCATTCATTCATTCATTCAATCAATCACCCACTCAGTCAATCAATCAATCCTTCATCACAATCATCCATTCATTCACTTATTCATTTATTCATTGAACATTTTGAACATTTTATCGATTCACACACACACATAAATATATACAAGTATTTACATATACAATTATACAATTATTTATTTACTTTAAATCACCAATCTATCAGACATTCAATAATTCAATCACATTCATTTTCTCATTCCTTCACTCATTCATTTTGGGGTATAAGCAAAATAAAATTCCTTTGATAATTTTTGTTTAAGACCCTTAAAAGCACTTAGATATCAGGGATTCACATACTAGCATCTTTTAACATCAGTCCAGCACACCCACGTTTTACATCATTGGGGGGATCCCACATGGCATTTTTTCCATCACAAAGCTTTTTCCAGCCAATCTAAGTGCCATGCTAACTAAGTGCATGAAAATCTTGAAAAGGCATTTTTGGACCCTTATATTGATAATAAAGCATTATTTCTTCATGATCACGCATTCATAAGCATAAGGTCAAACAAAAAAATAAGTGTGTCTCCTGTTGCGTGACCGACGCTAATTTTCTTGCAGATTTTTGCAGGCCCTAATATTTTTTTCATTCCCAAATACACCCAAGGTCCCAGTAAGCTCATTTCCACAGTTGTATCAGATCAGGTAAAAATAATAAAAAAATCTGACCTACCAACCCCAATTACGTTTCTCATGCAACAGGAAACACACTTATTTTTTTGTTTGGCCCAAGCACAAGCGCAAGCATAAGACTCCATACGAACACTGAGAAATGCAAGCACAAGCCTTTTCTTTGTTGTGCTTGAGCTTGTGTTTCTAACTGTTTGTATGGAGTGTTAATGCTTGCGCTTGCATGTTATGCTTTTGTCGCTAATGAAAATCAGGCTTTAGGCTTACTATGCAACTATCCTCAAAGTAGAGCACTAAAAAAATCCTTAACCAATATYATTATTGTTGTGCTTACCTCATTTTGTATATTGTCAAAAGTGTCACTGACATTCTTGATTGCCATGGTAACRTTCTTAACTCCATTTTCAATGTCGTCATTGAACACAAACCCTGCTATGATACTYCCACTGTAGAATAACACTAGCATTAATATGAACATAAAAACATGGTGAATACATTCTAACTTTGGGTAGTGGAGCCAATCAGTAAAACAGCTGAAAACAATAGTCTTTCAAAATATCTTTTTATTTCCACGAGAAAATGATGAAAACTATCTCGTTGCTAACATGTAACATCAGGGTCAAATTACCATTCTTGTGCAGTCCAGGTTTCTCATTGGTCCAACTACCCAAAGTTGGAATGCATTGTTTTCATTCTACATTTTCATTGGTTCTCTGGTCTAACTGGTCTAATTGYGGCCCCYGGTTACAATAGTTGCAYTGTAATGAATACCTACCAACAAATAAAGGAAAACRACCATATCAACAAAGCCAGACAAGCCGCACATTTATTCTTGGTTTTTCTTTTACTGATTTGTTTCTTTCGTAGCTTATGACACCACCAACAACAGAAAGCGAGAAAAATGATAATAACAATGAGAAATAAAACCCCTCCACATAACACTGGAACCCCACTGTAAAGCCAAAAATTCTGAAATTAAAAAATAAGCAGCACTGATATTATTATAGAATTGAGATTAAAAACTATAACACACCATGGGGTATATCATGGAAATATTTTGAAAGTGCYTGTCATATTTATAAGATTGATTTCCGGACAACATTGAAATTTTACATTTTAAAAATATTTTTGATGTTYGATGATGGTAAGATCAAATGGATAAAGAAAAATTTATAATGAATAATTTCCTGCAATAAATGGATTGCTTCTCTAGCTATTAAAACTGAAATATCGATCTTTAAATAAACGTTCCGGAAGCTTAACAGAAAAATCTTTATTTGGTCAATTTGTACATGTGTAGCTCAGCATTTTTAGTTCAAGCAATTACGACTGAAGACTAAAGTTATATATGTACTTAGCTATAAATGTACAGCTCTTTGYATTTAAATTATTACTTAGAATTAATAATGAACACAGCAGTAACAAATATATCTTTCCAGAAAGGATCTAAAGACGACATTCCTCATAATTTCTAAATGTGGGGAAGTACCACAGTTCTACAAGTGTTCGATTATTCTATATAATTCTTACGGTTTCTCACTTACCTGTTGATAATCAGTATCAGTAGGCTCAAAAGTGGAAGATATATTTTCAAAATTAAAGTTTACATGAGGCAAGGAGTGAAAAAATTGGGCGGTTTTTGGAGGAACTTTGCCTCTGGCGCACTTCGTCGCCATGTTTTGACGCAATACCAAGTATTGACCCTCTAGACCCCACACGGGAGGAGTCAGGACGTTCAGGGAAAGGAAAGGGAATTATTTCTCAGAAATAAACTAAGAAAAAACAGAATTCCTTTGAGTAAAATAAGACTGAAGATTCGGAATAATAAAAGCAATAATTCTGAGGGGGTAAAATATCGTATATATTTTTCTGGTTGCTCAGGAATTCCTGGGATTCCTGTGGTGGATTTTTACGTGAACTTACGCCCGCTTTGTGTCGGTWTTTTTGAAGTTCACTAAACAATGATTTTCCAACTTTCTTTAATATTTACAGCAGTTTTCACTTYCTTAACCTCAGCTAATGATGTCACTGTGGTGCATAAGAAAAACAAATCTTCTAATTCAAAGTTCAAGGATGTTTTTCGTAAGTTTTTATGATAGTTTAATTTCGTCCATTTTGGTGAAGCCAAAACTCAAGGCGGAAACTTTACAAAAAAAGTTTTTTGTCTTTATCAAGCTTAAAACAAAAAAACTCGGCTAATGTTGTCACTGTGCTGCATAAGAAAAACAATAATTAATAACTTAAAGTTCAAGGATGTTTTTCGTAAGCTTTTATATTAACGTCCGTCCATTTTGGTGACGAAAACTCAATGAACTTTTTWAAAAAAATTCATCTCTTTCTAGTCCATGCCATTGAAATCCTTTTCCAACAAAGAACAGATAGATATCTAACGAAAAACGTTCTCATTTTTACGTAGAAGTTGATTACTTTGCATATTTCAAGAACCCTCGTGGTTTCTCTCGCTACACAAAATCTGGAACTGGAAAAATGAGACCAATGGTGTCGTTTATTAGCTGGGAACCACATCAAAAAAATCCTGTGGACAAGAAGCTTTCTACTGTACCGTCAACTGACAAGGAGAAGAAAGAAAACCTTGTGGAAGAGAAGCTTTCTATTGTACCATCCACTATGAAGGAGAAGAAAGCCAAAGACCTTGTTGAGGTGAAGCCTTCTACTGTACCATCCACTGACAAGGCAGACAAGGAGAAGAAAGAAAACGTTGTGGAAGAGAAGCCTTCTGCTGTACCGTCAACTGACAAGGAGAAGAAAGAAAACCTTGTTGAGGTGAAGCCTTCTACTGTACCATCCACTGACAAGGAGAAGAAAGAAAACGTTGTGGAAGAGAAGCCTTCTGCTGTACCGTCAACTGACAAGGAGAAGAAAGAAAGCCTTGTTGACGAGAAGTCTTCTACTGTACCATCCACTGACAAGGGTGACCATTATTTGTCTGTTGAGGTAGATTCAAGAACATTTCCTAGAGAACTTGTCCACTGATGTTGAAACACAGGGCGTTGCTATTTTTAACTTCATYAAAAGTTTATGACGAAGAATGAAGACGAGATTTTCTCAATCGTAACAACAAATGTCATTAATAATTAAATAAAACCTTGGTGTGAAATAAAAATGCTCTATACATTAATGGGTATACCGTATAAAAAAAAGGCATCTTCAAATTTGATATTCAGCATGCACCGCAGTGGATTCAAATTTTATGGAAACCCTGAAGCAGCCTCTATAGTAGCCTCTGGGCTGATCAAAAGTTGTGGCACGGCTAACTCACAGCTAGATTAAATCCTGAAGCAGCCTCTCAGCCTCCTCAGTATCGTTTTTTTTTTTTTTGTGATAACAACAACGCGCTATATAGTTGATGACGCACCGAAGCAGGGTAAGGCTAAATTTGAACTGAAAAATATTCCAAAATATTCCCCCTCGTATTTATGCTATCTTGCGTTCGCTCATGACAGAAGTCCCGCGCGCTCTATGTCGTTCAAAACAATACGGAAGACGCAAAAGTGGCGTATTGTAAACAATAATAAACAAAGATTTCATGGTCGTAAAAATAACTAAATGGTCCAGGTGAAAGGATGCAAAATCATAGTGGGAGTACTTCTGAGAAATTTAGCTTCAAGTAGTAAATGAGACACCTGAATCCTGTCATGTTAGCTCTTACGGCAACGATTTTTTTCATTTACTTGGCAAAATRTGGACAGCTCGACTTCAGGATAACCAAATCAGCAATAGAATGGCCGGGTGAGTACATGGTTCTATTATTTATGCGATGATTTGGCTGTACTCTAAAACTAGACGCCTTCAAACTCATTTAGAACTGGATATGAGCATCAGTACGTTCATTTTCATTTTAATAGCGCACGAAAATTTCAACTCACGTTTTTTACTTTCAACTAGAAATCTTCATCTGCTGCGAATATTTTCATCCATTGGGAAAGATGTTGTTTTACGTAATAGTTGGTTTAACAATCGTTGAAGTTGGAAAACTCCTTGAAAAGCTCACTGTGTGGAAAATATTGTAAGTATATTTTTCTGCATGCTTAACGAAGCGTTGCGATTGGATAATATGCACAGAAATGATGGGAAGCCATTTGAGGACTACAGGTATACGTCACGTTTTTACAGTAAACATATTTTTGCTAGGAGGAAAATATTGAGGGTTGTTTTCAACGTTAGTCCACAGCGTAAAAGAGTCATACAGTTTGTGAARAGAGAAAACAGAAGAAGACACAAAAAGATGAAAAATAAAAAGAGGAAGCACAAGCGACTCTACTAAACGTGATATTGATACGATATTTGTGTTTGAATAAATTGAGAAATGATYGACATTCTTGTTGTTGTTTTACACCGAATGYTGGCGTTTTCCGARTTMAATRAATGATGCATTGTGGTCWAGCTTGGRTACAAACATCAACACGATGAACAAAATGTTTTTACCAAATCTATACCACAATGCACCTTGTTCGCTATCTCAGAAAAGATCTATGGCAGATAGAATTCATGTCGTACTTCTATAAAATAGCACTGTACGGAACGGACGACTTGCACTAACAGGTCAGGTGACT